GTTATCAAAGTTAAAAGTGATGAAACACTCATGAAAATTTGTAAATATTTAACCCTTTCAGTGTATTTTTCCCTCCAGAGGGACACTGTCTTAATTAACCCTGAAGTATACATCTGTTAATTTTGGCAGAAATTTTTTCTTTTTGGTTTATTTACTTTATTTGCATTACTTTTAAAAATTAATATTATAAAAAAATAATTTTCATAGTAAATTTTTGTTTTTGTAATGTCCATGAACAGGGACGTTATGTCTAGGAGTAAAAATACTATGAAAATATTTTAATTTACTTAAAATAAACAAAGAAAACTAATGTACTACAATGGTATTTTTTTTAATGAAAGTGGAAGTGAAAGGGTTAAAAAAATAAAAGAATTTATCATATTTATGTATGATTTGTTCTTGTAGTGACAGTCACTATAAATTTGAGAAGTGTGCTAATTGAAACGGGACAGGGCTCATTTAGTTTTATTTAAAAAGTAAACCTTGTCATTAATTAAAAATAAATGATGATTATATTACATTATTGAAATATATAATGTAAAACAAATTGTTGTAATGTTTTTCTAAAATCGGAAGTGTTGTCAGGTTTGTTACTGTCTGCTGCTAACTGTGATGTGTACAAGCGAACATAATAAACCTACTTATTGAGTACATTAATATAAAAAACTCATAATAAATCTGGAAACTATACATTTGAAATTGTCCTACTTATTTTTTCATTACTGCTATTATCTAATCGAACAATTCCTATGCTTTTATTTAATATTTAATATTCCACAAATAAATATAAAAAAATAATTAGTAAAATTATAAAATGAGTTCCAATTAAATAATGAACTATATTATTAATTTAAATTGTTAATTTAAGAAATGAATAAATTAATTAAGTAAAAGTGTAATAATGGGAAATGTGTAAATTGTATTTATTTCTAATTTTAAATAATTGTGTGTGTATTGTTAATTTTCTTTCTAATGTAAAATTAATAAATTAATAATTTTAACAAAAATTTAATGAGATGTTTTATTTGTGTTAGAATCCGAATACAATAAGAAGAACGCTGCTGTCATAATGATTACTTCGAATTTCAAATACATAGTATCTATAACTTATCAATAAATAAATATTAAATTGTTAGGTATAAAAAAATATTTCCTATATTCCTAAAAGATTAACACTTCACCCCCAGTGGATAACTTCAGTAACTGTATCAGCAATACTTTCCACATTCTCGTCTCCTTTGAGAAGTAGTCCCATCGTAAGTAATAAAAGCAGAAACAGCATTTTTTATGTAGTTTCTTTTATATTTGCGCTGCACATTAAATAATGGTAATCTTATAATTGAAGGGTCTGGAAATGCACCTATCTGTACCATAATCACCATAACATATAGATGCAAGGTTATATTTAATTATTTGGAACCAGGGAATAAGCATATTAAAATAACTTTTACTTTTTATCATGTATTTACCAATTTTTACATGGATTAAAAATAAAAAAATTGTAGATTTTCAAGTAATAGGATCGTTATTTTTAACTTCAAATTTGTGTCAAATTCTAGACTTCAGTGCGGAATGGTGTGAATATGCGGATTTCTAGACTCTTCAACTACAAGATAACCTTAAATAATTATTAGGTAGATCAGAAAAAATATTGTTTAGATTATTACCCAATGTATGTACAAATTATTCAATACACAAATTACCAACATCTTCGACCCCGAACTACATTTATTTACTTAAAGGGATGAACTCCTATAAAAATACAGAATTGAAAAATCTTAAATATTTCTTACAACTCAAATGTTTATTAATTTAAAATCAGTACTTTTATAAAAACCTAGTAAATACATTTAAAGAATTGGAACAAAACACATTCGGGGATGATTATTATTAAACAAATGTATATTTAAACACTTAAAAATAAAAAGGCTACAAGTAAAATACATTTATCATAGTACCTATATATTTGATTCATATAACCAGATACAACTTTCTAGCATTATAATCAGGCTAAAAGGAATAAGTCAAAGAATTTATTTATTGGCAGGGTCAGAAAAATATCAAAAGAAATACCTATGTAGGCATATGAAATTTATATCATAAACACATAATAGGGTCCAAGTCATAATATTATTAGTACCAAGGAGACAGGATAAATAATACGAAATATTTATATAGTAAATCTTTATACTAATAATAATTTTTATTACAGAAAAGACAAAGTTGAATAACCTATTTACATAACCTACAATCATTTAAAACGTAGACATTAAACATATTTACTTAAAAAATAACGTTTCCTAGTAGATTACTTAGCACTTTTTCACGGATAACATAATTTGCATTAAAATGTTTTTCACAAATGGAACTTTTGGGTGTAATGTTAGTTTACATACCACCAATAAATAATTTGCACCATATTCTGTATAACTGTTTTTTGGCATTATAAAACTGCTATTAATATGTTGAAGACTCTCGTCCATAATCACAATTAAAAACAGCACAACGATTCACCATGATTTATATATTTTAAGATTTTAAAAAATATTTATCTGTCAACACTTTTCAAATTGCAGCTCCTACTTTCATCTTTTATTTACTTTCTCGCCGGATAGACACTAGCGAACCTAGCTGATTTTGGCTAGGAAGTACGATCGGTTTTATCGCCGTTTTCATTTGTTTTTAAATAGGAGTTGATGCACCTTATAGTTCACCGTGACTGGGTTATACCTCCATGAGGGTTCCCATATCTAAATGTCAGTTCCCACTTATCAGCAGTTTGACAGGTCGTTCGAATGCCTAATACCTTAGAATATATATAGTTAGGAAGAAGGAATGTTAAACGACCTTGGAATCGCGATATTATCTAATTTTGACATTGAACTAGAAGAATGTGGCAAAAAGTATTTCCGGTCTACCAGTGATGTAGTGTCATAAGGGGGCGTAGAAAAGAGAATAATAAATTCTCATTTGCATATTATCTAAATATACCGATTCCTCTTATTTTAATGAATAGCTATTTTCTTGCGAGAAGTTTGTATTTTTTTATTAACCTTAATTATGTGAACAAATTTTACTTTAAAATTGCATGTTGGATGGGATAAATATAGGAAAATATTTTTGGGATAAATTATAGAATGATTTCATTTGAAAAATCAAAGCAATAATGTATTAAAAAAAATATTGACTTTTTTACGTCTTTATTATGACAATGACAATGACAATGACAAAAAAATTAAATATCCTATATTTATATTTTAAGTCAAATACCGCTGTATTATTTCTTTATTAGATGGTTTTGTTGGAGTACATATCAGGCTGATCGGTATAAATTCTCAAGTGACTTATTTTCAACATAACACATTAGTACCATAAATAACTATTAAAAAAGCTCTTAGTTTTACTTTTATTAAATAAAATAGAATCGTTTTGTTACGTTTAAGAAATAATGCATTGAAAGTGGTTTCATAAGTTATTTCTCTTGTAATGTTCACAAATACATATTTTTATTGCAATTTTAGATTCAGCAATTACCAAAATCAGGAACAAGGACATGTACGAACTTATAAAAAGATATTTTCTTGCCATAATTTCTAATACCCTCACGAAAGGATTTAGATAATATGATGGTATGAAAGTAAAATGGTAATTTAAAGAAACAATGAGCAGTTGTTTGTTTAAATGTAAGTATAGGGGTAAAGTACATTAGTCAATGCATATTTTCAAATTATTTAATAACAATTTATCTAAAAGTTTTACATTTTTAACTATCAGTTTTGCCTGATTAGGCGTTTATTAATAGATTGATTTAAGACTCAATATTAGGGTGGGCCGATTTTGGTGGTTTTCGAAAATAAGAATTTGCAACTTTGAAAAAGTTGCAAAACCGAAAAACAAACTTTTTTTATTTGACGAAAAACTATATTTTTTTGTTTTGAACTGCCACAGTGACAGTTAATATTCGAATTTTGAATTTTGTGAATTTCGAATTCTGCAAATTCTAAACTTCTTCGGAACAGAAAAGCAAGCATTTTTTGTTAAATGACATATGCCGAATTTTTACTTTTTCAACTGCCATAAGGGTATTAAAATTTCAAGGTTAACGTTTCAATATTTGCCTGTGAAAAAAAAATTGTTAGAAACAATACTGAAATGTTTTCTTTATACAGTTTTTTTCTATAGCTTTATGTTTTAAACTGCCACATCAACGATATTTCCGGACAGAACGTCCTTGTGTTATTTTATCACATAATCAATCTATTAACCAACGCACGCCACTGGCACCGTACGCACACTAAAAATATCACGTTGCTAGGACACGTGATCGTAATTAACGAACGATTGCGCCAATAACAATCAGAGAACCACTTTTAACAGTATCAGGTGCTTTTTGTTGACCGTGCGACGTGTTAGTTGAGTTTAAATAAAATGTCGTATAAAACGCGAAGTGAAATAGAATGCCCTATTTTTGGAGCTCCCAATTAGTGAAAATGTTCTGCCGACGTAAGAAAATATGAACAGGTATTTCAACTGGATAGAATATGAACTTAAGCCTCTATCAACAAATCCACAGCAAACTGCAACTGAAGCAACTAAAGTTGTTGCCAAAAAAATTGTTGAAATTTGGGATAAAGCTTCGCTTCCCACTGTACTTCAGTGTACTAATATTAAAAGTATAACAGGCTATCGTCTTAAAATAAGGAATTTATTAAAACCTTATAAACAACGAAATAAAGTCATAAGCTATCAAAAGCAGTTACAGGATTTCAGAATAAAATCCAAAGTTTTATTTGATGTGGCTGCCTGTAAATATTCAGACTTCAAAACGTGTGTCTGCGATAAAGTATTCAAAGTTCCACAAGCACAACGTAGTTTTCTATTAGATCAAAGGACCGTAAAAAAAATGTTGATTAGTTCACTGGATGTAAAAACAACTAAAATAAACCAGAAGCGAATTCATAGAAACGAATTATTGAACACAAGAAGCGAATTAGATGAGAATGAAAGTGAAAAAAGATACACAGAGAGTGAAAAGATCCCAGCAAGAACCCAGTACTTCTCAACAGGTTTCTACCATATCTCAAGGATGTTTACAAATTCAATGTAATTCATTACAAATACCCGTGCTTGCGAGAACACTTAATCGTTATGGTATTTCTGATCGAGCTGGTGCTGCAGTAGCTTCAGCCGTTCTACAGGATATAGGTATTATTAATAACGAAGACAAAAGCAGTATCATAGATAAGAACAAGATTCGTCGTGCTAGAAGTAGGAAACGTGAAGGTATACTAGAAAAAAATCAAAATTTATCATTACGTGGCCTGTTTTTCGATGGAAGGAAGGATGAAACGCTAAAGGTGGAAGACGGCGGTCGACGAAAAATCCGGGAAGAGCACATTACTCTCATAAAAATGTCATGAGTCTGTATACTTGACGCATGTTTGTCCTGAATCAGGAACTTCGTCGAACCTCATGAAATATATTTTAGAATATTTCGATAAATCTCAAATTACAACAGATAATCTGAGAGTGATAGGATGCGACAGAACAAACGTCAATGTTGAAAAATATTCAGGAATTATTGCAAATTTGGAAAAACATTTAGATAGACCGTTGCAGTGGTTTATTTGCCAGTTGTATGAAAATGCAACGACATCTTTGCCACATCTCATCAACTTCCTTGATGGCAGCACAACTGGACCTAAAGACTTCTGTGGACCTATTGGACAGGTACTGAAGGGATGTGAGAATCTTTTCATAGATAATTTATTTATTTTTATTTTAACTATTGTATTTATTTATTTTTTCACTTCAGTTGATTTCAACATAATTGAGTCGAATATTTCGGCACTAGATGAGTCTGTAAGGACTGATCTCAGCACAGATCAAAAATATCTTTATGATATATGTGATGCAAAAGAAACTGTAGACGAAAACTTATCCACACGAAGCCCTGGTAAAATTGTGCATTCCCGATGGCTGACAACGGCTAATCGCATACTACGGCTATACGTTTCAACAGCTGTACCATCAGAAAACTTGTCTACCTTAGTTACTTTTATTTTAAAAGTATATGGTCCAATATGGTCAAGGTATTTACCGAAAAGATTGAAAGAAGTGATTGATCCAGTGATATTGTGAAATAGTTATTTCGCACATCCTGAAAATATCCTGATTGAAATGCTAGGGGTCACAAGAGAGTATATTCGAAAGCTGACTGCGCTTGAAATTTTAAAACTCGGAATTCTAACAAACAGCAATCAAGACGAAAATTTGAAGTTTTAAATTCGCTGAATATGAGCGCTTCCAGTTATGGACTTGATTTATTGGAGTACTTCTGTTATAACAGAACCGCCATTAATAATGGAGTTACCAGAAGAAGTTTTAAATGATATCGTGAAAAATCCGGCTACATCAATGTTATTTTCTGAAATAAAATCGTATCCATGTCACACGCAAGCAGTGGAACGGGCTGTTAAAATAGTAACGGAAGCTTTAGCTGCAGTTTGTGGTGGTGAGAAGAGAGATGGTGTAATAAGGGCAAAATTGGAATCACGTGTAATCATGCGTTCTTTTGGATCCAAACAAGAATATATATTAGAATAAATTTTATTTGTACAAAAATTTTTTCATAATATACCTATTTTTTAAGTTACCTTTAATATGATGTATTACTATTAGATATTAAATATGTATTTTTATTTTGCATCCTGTAAAATTTATGAATTCGTTTTATAATAAATAACACTTGATTTTACTTGAATAATATTTTTTCAACACTTCTATTTGACAAAAAAAAAAATGTAAAATTTTATAAAATGTCTTTGTGGCAGTTCACATTGCAAAAGTAGGAAAATAACTATTAAAGAAAATCTGTTCCTTTTCAAGTAATTCAACTTTTAATTACATGCATGTTATGAAAATTTTAATTTTTGAAAATCAAAAATTTATTGTCATTGTGACTGTTCTAAAAATTAAAATATCAAAAAAAAAATGTATTGAAATATTTTTCGTCTCTTATTTCACAACTTTTTTTAACATGCAGACCTAAGTACCAATAAATTTTTAAATCCTCTATATACGTCGGCCCACCCTACTCAATATTCGTATAAAATGTAATGTCTTTTTTTAGCTGCTGTTGAGAGTGACGATGGTGCTACTTAAAAAGTAAGCTTGATATTATTTATGACAATAAAAATATGTCCATAGTTGCAATTATTTAATTTCATATTAATATAGGTGGTGATGTCCATCAAATGTCCATAAATTGTCCAAAAGCAATACAAAAAGAGTCCATATATGGACCTTTCATGAAGTCCAAATGGACGTCTAGTAGTGGGACATTTGTATAGTCCAATGGATGTCCATTGAATGTCCTTTGGATAACCGATATATCCATAAATGGACTTCCGATGGACATCCAATGGATTGACTTGTGCTGTCTGGGAAATAGTTGGCAATATGATTGATGTTCTTTTTGAAGGTCAACGGAAATATATACTTGTATATTTGATAGAATAAAATCTTTGCAGGGCAAGAGGCGTAAGTATGTTAAGGTTGTAAAAGATTATTTTAAAAAAATTACTTTTTAAATTCTTTTGCTTCATTGATAGAGAAAAAAACTTTTGAAATGTCCCCCGTATTAAACCTTTTTTAGTAGCACACTATTTCTAAAATAAATTAATATTTTTTTGTTTGAATGCCAGAACAACAGATCCCGCTTCGCGTTTCTTTGTTTTACTTTCCCAACCACTTCTGCAAAAAGTAATCTAAAAACCCTTAACTCATTTAAAATTAACTTATGAAATATATCTAGATTTTTCCTATTAAGACTTTTCTTTTGTGGCTTCATCGCAATTTAATTTATTAAGGCATTTTCTGATTATTTTAACTTTGTTTACTGATTTTGTTTTACATTTTGGAACAATTAACTTTAATCCAATAAGAATTGTAATAATACAGGGTATAACAAAAATGTAGTTATTAAATTATACCAGGTATTCTGGAGTCAATAATAAATAGGTTGGTTAGACGCAACGACTACAGGATATATTAGTTTCATTATGCCTTATTTACCATACGGTTGATGACGTATCCATAAATAGTGACGGCTCTTGCCTTAGCACATAGGTGGAGCCACAGATTAACATTTTCAGTTGCCTAGTCTATATTTTGACTCGAAGTCGTTAAAAAGCATATCTTGGGTAATATTTTAAAGTATATTAACGGGCGCATTTATCATTTTTACAAAATAATAAATATCATAAAAAGCTTACCATAATTTAGCTTTAAATAGTAATTTATTGCACTCCAAACCTATACAGTAAAATAAAGAATATTTTACATTGAACGATATTTTGAACGAATTTTTTCATTACATTTTCAAAGTTTTTTAGATCTTGTTTAGCCTTGATAGGGTCGGTATTGATCGTCTGCAGTTGCTTAAAAATTATTTCGACATGTAACATAACTTTATGAAAAATTTTTAATCAAAATATGAAATCTCTGTCCTGTAATCTAAGTTTATAAGCACCGGCTTGCTCAATCGTAGAATTTAATTTAATATCTTTGTCGTTCTCTAAAATAACCATAACGTGTATCAGTTCATTTCGGTATTCATAAACTGTGTTAACTACCCGTGATTGGAAATTCCATCTCGTTTGTGATGAGCGTGGTAATCGTCTATGAACTATATCATCCAATACTTTTGTTCTTTGAGGTGATGTAGAAAAAAAGCGCAAATTCCAGTTAAATGAGCGAAAAAAATCCAAACAGACGCATTAATTGAACCTACACTGCTCATTATAAAGTTAATCTGATATGCATAGCAATGAATATAATTTTCTAAAGAATGTTTATCTTCAATTAATTTTTGTATCCCATTCATACATCCGCTCATGACTGACGCTTCGTCGTAACTCTGCGCGATCAACTTATTTGGTGTGGATTAATTTCATTTAAAATGCAATTTGCTATTGAAAGGGCATTGTGTCCGGGAGGATTTACAAATTTTCAAAATCTTTCTACTGGCTTACTGGAGGTAATGTATCGTAGAATAATAACCAATTGAAATTCGTTAGCAACATCGGTAGTTTCGTCAGCAATTACAGCTACATAATTCCTTTTTTTTATTTCTTTAGCCACTTCTTTATGGTAAACGCCAAACACGTAGTCTAATAGTCCGTTCTGTATGGTCTTAGAGGTCCCTTTAAATAATGTTGCTTTGTTGAAATGTTCCTTTAAATCGGCATCCAATTCAGAACTAAAATCTATCAATTCTCAGAACACTCCTTTATTTTTGGATTCTTCGGTTTCATCATGTCCGCGCAATGCTAATTCTAATGCATCACAAAATCTTATACAGTTAATATTGATGTTTAAAATATGTCTGTTTTTATCAACTTGTTTATTTTGGGCAGAGCTGCAGTACTAAATACTTTTTGTACTTAAAAAAAGTACTTAAGTACAAAAAGTACTGTATTTTAAGTACCTTCAAAAATGCCTGTACTTGTACTTACATTTTTAAGTTTTTGTCGTTGTACTTGTACTTAAACAGTAAAATTTGGAATTAAGTACTTTTTTACTTAAAATAGCGAAGAAAGAAGGCAACTAAGTACTTTAGAAGTACTTAAGTACTTTTAACATTCTTAAGTATGTCAATGTACTTAAATACCCAGAATGAACTTCAGTACTTCGAAAATTTTAACGCTTTTTTCTAGTTTCAACAGGATTTTTCTTGTCTTATTACTGATCCAACGCGTCACTATGACACCTAATAAAAAGCCATTGCAAAAGTCATTTAACAATAAAGTTATAAAATTTGTTATCGACAGTATGTCACCAATTTCAATTGTATCCAACCCTAGCATCGTAAATTTATTTGACGGAATAAACGTTAAAGTTCTGGACCGTTCAGCAGCAACAAAAGCAATTAAGGAAATGTATCAGAAAATGGGCCAAATTATTAAATTAGATGTTTCGCAAGTAAATTATGTATGTACTACCGCCAACATATGGTCTTCCAAGAGTCTAAGCTTTATTGGGATGATATACCATTGGCTGGATAAAGATCTCAAGCGACACTCAGTGGCATTAGCATGTCAAGGATTTGCGGGAACCCATTCGTATGATCGAATTGCGGATAAGTTAGAAGTTCTATGTGAGTTCTATGTGATAAACTTATGATTCCGGTATTTAAGGAACATGAAATATCCTTTTTAGAGGAATATATCAAATTAATGCAGCCTCTGGCTAAAACATTAGATTTTTTACAGGGAGAGCATAACACCTATTATGGGTATTCTGCTTCCCAGCTTAGTTTAGATGAAAACTAAACTTCAAAAGCTGAAAATATCAGGCGATATAAAACAACTAAAAGTGCCTTTGGAGGCCATAATTTAGTTTGTTGGGCAAAGATTTC